AAACTCTGTTCCATTCCTGGAAATGCTCCAGGAATTGCTCTTGCAGCTTCGTGCACTAGTGGAAGTTGTCCCTGCCCATGGCCAGGGGTGGAACTGGATCATCCTTAAGGTCGCTTCCAACCCAAACCATTCCAGGATCCTATGATTTCATGAAATCCCCTCTCTTTTTCCCATTTCCCAGATCCGGAACCCCCTGAAGCTCAAGAGGGCCAAGAAGAAGCAGCTGAGGCGGGTGGAAAAGCGGGATACGCTGGCCCTGCTCCAGAAGACGCCCGTGAGGCGCAGCACGGCCACAGAATGAGGCGGGAATCGGGATACTGCCGCGCCCTGGCCATGCAGCCGGGATTCCTATGGATCCTGCTCCTTTCCAGGGGTTTTTCCTCAGCTTGCCAGGCAGGAATCGCTGCCAGGACCCTCAGTGTTGGACAAACAACAGGACAGAGCTGAGGGGGTGGATTCCACAGGAACCAGCTGCTGGATCTCTCAAACCCTGTGGAATCAGGACGTGGCCGGTGCCAGAGGCTGGAACAGAACTTTGCTCTCCCAAATTTACCTTTTCTTTATAAAAATGAATGAGATTGACCTCTGGTGGCTCTGAGGGCTGGTGGCTCCAGCTGGGGCCTTCCCTAAGGCATTCCTAGAATTGGAGTGTGCCATGGCCCCTCTTTCCTTGCAGTTCGCCTTTCTCCAAAGAGGGAATTCCTGTTGGGAATGAGCCCTGTAACTTGTCAGCAAGGAGGGGGACACGGTGTCACACATCCTCCTGTGGGGCGCAACACCGGGAAGTTGGTGCGGGCTGGAAGTGGAAAATCCACGCGGATTTCTTAATGTTTCTGTTTTTTCTTGGTGCGTGAACACCCCTTTCTGCATTCCTGGGGAAGGATGTGGCTGTGAGCTGGGATGGGGGGGGACAGAGGGGTGCACTGGGTGGAAAATGGCACTGCAGGAATCGGTGTGAAGCCCTGGGATGGGAATGTGGAGCCCTGGAGCTTCATCCTGGGGTGACAATTTGGGAGGGCCCCTCAGAGTTGGGATGGGGTGTCCCATCCATGTCCAGAATGGGGGCGTGCCACAGGGAAAGTGGGGACTGGCAGGAGTTGCGGGTGCAGCCGGTGCCAGCCGGGCACGGGGTCATGGGGCAGGAGGGCTCTGCCCTCGCCATTCCCGGGTTAATGATTTCCAAGGAATCCTCGAGCCTCTCCCTCTGCAGAGCCCACGGCTCAGGCTTTACCCGGCGGGGTAAGAGAAGGAGAAGCTCGGAGGCCGATTTCCTGGTGGGACGGATGTGGGAGAGCCGCGTGTCTCCTCCCAGGGCTGGACTGGGGCCAGCATCCCTGTTCCCGGCCTGCCGAGCTGCGCGGAGAGGGAGCGGGGAGCACCCGGGATTGGGGGCTCGGAGCCCCGGGATCCCCACCCGGCTCCGGCTCCGGGGTGGGGAGGAGGATGAGGAGAGGGGACGGCGGGTGCTGGGAATGCCGGGGCTGGCAGATAGATAGCAAAGGGCTGTCCCGGCTGCCGGGTGAGTTTTGGAGCGGGGATCTGGGATCAGAGGGTGGGGAAAAAGGGAAGGAGGAAAGGAGGGGATGGGAACAGGGAAGCAGAGGACGGGGATCACGGAACGGAGGGGACCAGGAAGGGAGTGAATAAGGACGGGGGAAGGAGGGGACAAGGACCGGGGAAGGCGGGGACAAGGACCAGGAAAGAAGGGACAGGGACCACGAGGGGATGGGGACGTGGGAAGAAGGGATGCCAGCAGAACTATCTGGACCACTAACCCTATCTTGGGGGTGCCCCGTGAGGATCCCTGGGGACAGGCCCCTGCCACCAGCCCTCTCCTGGGCGTGGCAATCCCTGTGGGACACTCGGTAATTCTCATTCCCAGGTGCGCCATGGTGGAGGTGACAGTGACACCGCAGTCCTCGCTGGCCGACCGGCCGGTGCAGATCCGGGTGCGGGGACTGTCCCCATCCCAACTTGTCACCCTCCGGGCATGGCTGAAGGACGAGCAGGGCGAGCGCTTCCAATCCCGTGCCTTTTTCCGCGCTGACGGAGCGGGAGAGGTGGATCCCGGGCTCCATGCCGCCCTGGGGGGCAGCTACTCTGGGGTCTGGCCCATGGGGCTCTTCTGGTTCCTGCAGCCCGACACCCTTTTCCGACGGCTGGTCAAGCGGGACGTGGCCGGCAGCCCCTTCCGCGTCCGGCTGGAAGTGTTGGATGGGCTCTGCTTGGACACGGATCCCCGGGAGCAGCCGCTGGGATGCTGCGAGGCCGAGCGGTGGTACGTGGGCCCCGGAGTGCAGCGGGTGCCCATCCGTGAGGGAAGGGTCCGTGGCGCCCTATTCCTGCCTCCTGGTGAGCACTGGGGAGCGGGGAATTCCGGGATATCAAACCTTGGGGCTTGCAGGATGCTCGTTCCTGGGAGCCCTGGGATACCCAGGTAGTATTCCCTTGGGATACTGAACCTTGGGATCCTGGGGATGTCAAGCATTGGGACCCCTGGGAAACAACTCCTGGGATGCTAAACCACAGAATTCCTGGGGTTTTGTCCAGTCCTGGGACCCCTGGGATTCCCAAAGCTAGGGTCTCTGGAAGCCCAGCCGTGGGATCCTTGAGATACCAAACCTCAGGATCTTGGGATGCCCAGCCCCAGGACCCCATGGATACTGGACCTTGTGCCCCTGGGATGCAGGACAGCACAGGTGGCTCCCTATCCCTGACATTCTTCCTGTCTTCCCACAGGTCCGGGCCCCTTCCCTGGAGTCATTGACATGTTTGGGGGTGCAGGGGGGCTGATCGAGTTCCGGGCAGGGCTCTTGGCCAGCCGGGGCTTTGCCGTGCTGGCCCTCGCCTTCTTCGCCTACGATGACCTGCCCCGAGTCCTGGCCCAGCTGGACCTGGAATATTTCGAGGGAGCGGCAGAGCTGCTCCTCCGGCATCCCAAGGTGAATCCCAGAGCCTGAAGGAAGGCACCTGTGAGCCAGGATGTGCTGGGGATTGGGGACAGCCTGGTGATCCAGACATCCAGCTGGCCTGGGATTGTCCTAGGGACATCCTCATCCTGGTGAGCAGGACATCCAGGTGACCAGGGGTAATGTCCCAGGGTTGTGCCCAGCACCAGGAAAGTCCCAGGTACTGGGGATATCTCAGTGAGTGGGATGTCCTGGCAACTGGGGATATCCCATGAGGACATCCTTGTCCTGGCACCCAGGGATGTCCCAGTAAATCTGTTATCCCTGTGTATTATCCCAGCTGGCTCTATTTCCTCTTGCTTCAGGTCCAAGGCCCCGGCCTGGGCGTGGTGGGTGTCTCCAAAGGTGCGGAGGTGGCCTTGGCCATGGCCACCTTCCTGCCACAGGTGGTGGCCACGGTATGGATCAACGGTACGACCTTCCTTTACGGAAACCCGCTGGTCTATAAGGAGCTCCGCATCCCTGCCATTCCCTACTACACCGAGCGCATCCTGTTCACCGAAGTGGGAGCCATAGACAACTCGGCCATCTTCGCTGACCCCCGGGATCCCGCCTACCGCGCCTCGGCCATCCCGGTGGAGAAGATCCGGGGAAAGGTGCTGTTTGTGGTGGGAGAGGCCGACCGGAGCTTCAACAGCAAGCTCTTTGCTGAGCTGGCCCTGGCGCGGATGCCGCCGGAGAGCGGCCGGATCCTGTCCTATCCCGGCGCCGGGCACCTGATCGAGCCCCCCGGATCCCCGCTGTGCAGCAACTCCAGCATCCGCGGTACTCCCAGGCCAGTGGCATGGGGAGGAGAGCCCCAGCCCCATGCCCGAGCCCAGCAACATTCCTGGCAGGAGATCCTGCAATTCTTGGAGCTCCATCTGGGGTCGGTTGCCACCACAAAGCTGTGAGGGGTGAGGAAAAGGGGTTGGGGTCACCTGGATTGTCACTGCAGGGAATAAAGTGTCACTGGTGGCTCCTGCCTGTGCTCCTGGGGGATGATGTGTGGGAAAAAGACTGGACACAGATGTAGGAGATACATCAGATATATATTGGGAGATACATCAGATATAGGATATATACTGGACATGTGAGATATATATATTGGGTATATATCGGATATATATATTGGATATATATATATAGGATATATATTGGATACATATGGAACATATATAGGACACAGGACAGACAGCTCAGGCATGTATTGAACATACACAAAACATACATACGACACGTATGGGGCACGTATAGAACATATATTGGCCATGTATCAACCCAGCTGTGCCTCTGGACATACTGCTCTCTCTGCAGCTGCCCTTGCTTCCTGAGGAGGTTTGAGGGAATCACATCCAGCCCCCAGCTCCTCACACCCTCCCGCTGGCATCCCTGTGCTCCTGGGAGCCGGCATGACCCCATTCCCACGCCCAGGGCATGGGACAGGGAGTGGCTGTGACTGGCACTCCAGGGAGGGTGGGGAGAGGTGATGAGGTTTAATCTGCAGTGAAGATAAATCCCAGAAGGGAAGCCTGGGGAAAGGGAGGCAGAGGGAATACACATGGAGGACTTTGGATTCCCTGTTGCACTGCCAGCAGGGTGCAGCAGGGATGCAGGGTAACTGGCCAATTCCCAGTCCCTCAGACACCGCTGGGGCCATGCCACGGTGTCCCCTGGTCCCATGGCTATTCCAGGAGTGGTGTGTCCAGGTGTCACTGCTGTCCCCAGCAGCTCACCTACACACACCTTTCTTCTCCTTTCCCCCTGCATAACTTGATCCAGCTGGGCATCCCGCCTGGCACCAGTTCCATTCCCTGTTCACTGGGACAGTCTCCAAGTGTGGGATAAGCTTGGTTTGTCCCTGGTCACCGTGACACAGCCACAGGAGGTGACCACAGGGCTGGGGCACTGAGGTCACCGGTGGCAAAGGAGCGAGGAGCCCTGGGCAGAGCTCATCTCACGGGATCAGCTGATCCTGATCCCCCCCCGCATGCCAGCCATCTGGATATAAATCCATGCTGCAGAGCCCCGCGCTCTGTCTGTGTTACTACCATGGGACGGAGCTGCTACTTCCTCCTGCTCCTCTTCCTCCTGTTCCCGTGGCCCAGAGCCACCCTGGCACTCCTGCAGTACCGCCACGACTGTGGAGAGTTGGGAATGCAGCTCCTGGTCTTCCCGCCCCATGGCCGCACCGTCCGCTTCAAGGTTCTGGGTGAGTGGGGAACTCCCTGGATCCCTTTGGGGTGCTGGATTTCTCTGGGATTCTCCCCAAACCTGGAGTGTTCCCTGGTGGTGGTATCCCAATGGGATGAGCCCAATGGCTGGGATCAGCTGTTGCTGATGCCTGGGAGGTTCCCATGCACCTGGATGTGTCACTTCCCTGTGTCCATGGTGTCCCCTCAGATGAGTTTGGCTCCCGCTTTGATGTGGCCAACTGCTCCATCTGCCTCCACTGGCTGAATTCCAGGGAGGACGGTTCTGTCGTCTTCTCCTCCGGCTACAAGGGCTGCCACGTCCTGTTCAAGGTGACACTCCTGTCCCCTCCACGGTCCCCTCCAGCAGGATGGGGGTGACTGTCCCTCGTGTCTCCCTGCAGGAAAACCGCTACGTCCTGCGGGTGCAGCTGGAGGAGCTGCTGTCCAGCGGGATCCCAGTCACTTCCTACGAGGTCAACATGACCTGCCCCAAGCCAGGTGACTCTGAGATGCTTCCGGATGGAAAACGGGAGCAGGGCCAGGACAGCAGAGTTACGATCTCCCACACTGGCCTGCACCAGATCTCTGAGTCCTCCCTTACCCTTTCGGGATCCCAGCTCACATCCCGAGATCGCTTGGAGCAGGTTCACACCGTGGGACAGTACCCGCCCAGCTCAGTGCTTCCTGGCATCCAGCACCATTCCAATCCGGCTCACTCGGGGCTTCTGTCCCAGCCTGGTGGGGTTCATCCTGTCACCCAAATCCAGGGAAACTTCATCCACCCGGGAGTGCAGCCCCCCCAGCCCGGGGGACAAAGCCAGCCAGGGATTCTTCGCCCAGTGCTTGTATCCCAAAACCATCCCAGTGTGGTGCATCCTGGGAGTCAGAGCCAGCCAGGGCACCTGCGCCCAAGCTTTGTATCCCAAAACCAGCCTGGGATGGTATATCCTGGGGCTCAAAACCAACCAGGGGTTCGCCCAGGTTCTGTATCCCAAAACCATCCTGGGGCTCAAAACCAACCAGGGACTCGTCCAGGGTTTGTATCCCAAATCCATCCTGGGGGTCAAAACCAACCGGGGCAGCTTCGTCCAGGGTTTGTATCCCAAATCCATCCTGGGGGTCAAAATCAACCAGGGACTCGTCCAGGGTTTGTATCCCAAATCCATCCTGGGGGTCAAAACCAACCAGGGACTCGTCCAGGGTTTGTATCCCAAATCCATCCTGGGGGTCAAAACCAACCAGGGACTCGTCCAGGGTTTGTATCCCAAATCCATCCTGGGGGTCAAAACCAACCAGGGACTCGTCCAGGGTTTGTATCCCAAATCCATCCTGGGGGTCAAAACCAACCAGGGACTCGTCCAGGGTTTGTATCCCACAACCAACCTGGCTTGACCTCCACTGGTGCCCAGACTCCAGCAGGATTCCTGCGCCCGGGAGCTCAGCCTGCAAACCAGCCAGGAATATCTCGTCCCAGTTATCACTCCAACTCCCAAACTGGGCCCCAAGGCCACAATGGGCTGCTCCATCCTGGTCATCCCAGTCCAGCTTTTGTGCACCCAGGACTCTCATCCTGGTCAGGTTTCATCAGCCCTGGACTCCAGGCTCAGCCCCAGCCAGGCCTGGGACGCCCAGGGCTGCAGCCCCAGCCTGGATTGCTGCATCCTGGGATTCACTCCCAGCCCAGCCTGCTGCAGCCCACAGCGCTCTTCTACCCTTCGGCAGGGGCAGGTAAGGCAGGAAGATGGGATGGAGGGATGCTGGGACAAAGAGAAACAGCCTCAAGGTGCTTTTCCAACCCATGGAGGGACATGCTGTCTCCTCTCTGCTTCCCCCCAGGAATGCAGCTGACACGGGAGCAGTGCCAGGTGCCATTGGGCCGGATGCCGTGCGTGGCTCCACAGGGACGGGATGGATGTCTGCAGGCAGGATGCTGCTACGACGACATGGACCGTACCACACCCTGCTATTATGGGAATACTAGTAGGACACCCAGAGGCACATCCCAAAATCCCTTCACGGCACCAGGAGAGGGTGCTCAGGGTGATGGAGCCTCTCTGTGGTATCACAGTCACGGTGCAGTGCCTGCTGGAGGGACACTTTGTCCTGGTGGTCCCACGGGGAATGGTGTCCTCACCCTACAACCTGGACAGTGTGCAGCTGGCCAGCAGCCAGGCAGGATGTGAGCCCCTCCACGTGTCTGAGGCCTTCGTCATGTTCCGCTTCCCCGTCACCCACTGCGGCACCACCGTCCAGGTAGGGCAGGAAAACCCCGGAGAACCCCAGGTGGGCATGGTGGGGTCACTTCAGGATAGAAGTGCCTCCAGGATGCTCCCTCCAAAACTTCAGGATAAAGAACTCACCCACACACTGCCTCCTGCCTCAAATCCTGATCCCTGTATTCCCCAGGATGTTTCCCATTCCAGTGTTCCCTACACAGGTGGTCGAGGACAGGTTGATCTATGAGAACCAGCTGATCTCCACCATCGAGGTCCAGGGATCCCCCCGGGGCTCCATCACTCGGGACAGTGTCTACATGTAAGGGAAGAGGGTGGAAAAATCCAGGCAGAGAGCCTGGATTCCCCCTTGGATCAAACCAGCCCTCACTCCTGTCACGTCCGTGGTGGTGTCCCCATAACTTGGGCTGAGGGGGCTGATGGAGGATTTGGGAATCTCCCGCCTTTCTCTCCCTCTTTTCCTCAGTCTCAAGGCTCAGTGCATCTACAACTCCAGCGACCTCCTTCCCTTGGGAGTGGAGGTGGCCGTGCCCCCCACAGCTGCCCCCCTGGCCATGCTGGGCCCCCTGGGGCTCCAGCTGCGGATTGCCACCGGTGAGTGCTCCCCATCCCGCTCCCCATCCCGCTCCCCATCCCACTCAACCCCTCCCAACGTTCCCACAGACGAATCCTACAGCTCCTACCACCCTGTGGGTGATTTCCCCCTGGTGAGGGTGCTCCGGGACCCCATTTACGTGGAAGTCCGGCTGCTCCAGAAGACAGATCCCAATTTGGTGCTGGTGCTGCACCACTGCTGGGCCTCCCCTGGCTCCCATGCCACATCCCAGCCCCAGTGGCCCATCCTGGTGGAGGGGTGAGTGACAAAGGATGAGAAGATGGGAGTGAGGGGAGGTCACTGTGCTGACACAGCATCCTTGTTTCCCACACAGGTGTCCCTTCCAAGGGGACAACTACAGGACACGGCTGATTCCAATGGGTCCAGCCTCTCCGGAGCTGCCCTTCCCGAGCCACTACCAGCGCTTTGTCATCTCCACCTTTGCCTTTGTGGAGACCCCCGGAATGGCAGTGCTGGAGGGGGAGGTGAGGAGGATCCCCCTGAATCCCTGTTTGGAGTGTCCCAGTGTTGGGAATCCCTCATCCCAACACCCCCAAATCTACCCCAGTGCTGACCCTGCTTTCAGCTGCCCACGGTCTCTTCCTGTTGGGAAGCTCACTCTGCTTTTGGGAGGTTCCTCAAGGCTTGGGGACCCTTTCTGGGGATCCCCAGGTGATGCTGGCATTCCTGTGGCTCCCAGGTGTACATCTCCTGCAGTGCTTCCGTGTGCCACCTGGCCCAGCCTGAGCCCTGCCGGCCCTCCTGCCAGCTGGGAGTGCCCTCACGTGAGTCTGGGAGTCTCCAGGGATTTGGGAAGACCACTACATGTCCCCCTCTTCCCAAGCCAACCTGCTGTTCCCCACAGGAGTGCGGAGGTCTCTGGGAGACAGGACGACAGGTGACAGGATGGGGACAGTCACATCCCAGGGATGCATTGTCTTTCCTGAGGTTCCCAAGAGAGAGGGAACTCAGCACAGAGGCTGAGGGGTGAGTGCCTTCTGCTCCCTAAAAGCCCCTTCATCTCAAACACCCCTTCATCCCTCTAAGTTATTTCCTCCCCGTCTTCCTCCTCACAGCTCAAGACTCTACCTGGATGCCGTTGGATGTCTCTGGGAAAACTGGAAAAATAAAACTCGTGCAGAGCACAGCTCTAAGGGTGGCTTGTCCTTGGGAGGGGAGGAAAGAGGGTCCCTCATCCCCATTCCCAAGCTGGCAGCACCACAGCCCCCCAGATCCCACCCTGCTATACCCCAGCCCTTCACAGGAGCCTTTTCCAACTGGAATGACAGGGAATAATTCTTTATTTCCATACTGAAACTAAGTAACTGCTTACAAAACTGCACAGTCCTCCCTTCCCTCCCTCCTTCCCACACATCCTGGCCTCAAACTTCCACCAGCACCGGGATTGGGATTTTTTGTCAAACCAGTTACAAGCACAAAACAATCTAAAGGCGGAAAACACACAGAATTGGGAAAAAAACTAAACAATAAATTCATGAAGTACGGGGAAGGCAATGTCCAACTTCCCTTGCACCAACAGCTACAACAGGGGAGTTTGATAATCCCACCTTGATATTCCCACCCACCTCCCACCCTGAATCCCACAAAATCCCAGCTTCCAGGGCTACAGGCTGTAGAACTTGAGGCTCCGATCCATGCCTGTGGAAGCGATGAACTTGGCATGGTGGCCAAAGGCCACTCCTGTGGTCAGACCACTGTGCTCTGAGGACGGAAAACAATCCATGGTCACAATTCCGAGTGGATTTGTCCCATTCCCGCCCCAGCCATTTCCATGATGCCACAATCCCTCACCTGTGAAGTGGAGGATCTCTGTCCATTGCTTGCAGATGTAGATCTGGACATCGGTCCCGCCCAGCGCCAGATAGGTCCCGCTCTGGTCGAAAATCAGCGATTTCACCTGTGGAGAACAATCACAAGGCGTTGAAAAAGCTCCAAATGGCTTTTTTGGGATGCCACAACCCATGGAGCAGAGAGACCGTGGGGGGAAAAAGGGACATCACACACCTCGAAGTTGTTATCCAGCTGCAACGTCTTGAAGTTCTTGAGCTTCCTCAAATCCCAGAGCTTGACTGAGGAGTCGTCAGCTGCCGTGGCCAGGTAGTATCCGTTCTCGGAAAAGGCGATGCTGGTGATGGGGCCGGAATGTCCCGGGAAGTTGGCCACATTGGTGCGTTCCTGGGGACAAGGGGGTGAGAGGGAATCAGCACTGGGATGTGGCATCGTTCCCAACCGACCTGCGCGGTCACGGCGTCACCAGCAGCTGCTCTGGAGCTGGAATCTTGGGATTTTTAGAGAAACTTCCAAAAACATTCCTCAAAGTCCTGCTCCTTGGACTGATACCCAAACCAAGCTCAGATCCCCCGAAACGCCTGATCCCACACATTCCCATCAGCCCTTACCTTCAGATCCCAGATCTTGATTTGGGAATCCATCGTTCCCGTCCCAAAAATGAGCCCGTCCGGGTGGAACTGGGCACAGGTGAGAGCTGCGGAGACAGTGGGAGAATCAGACCCCGGGGGAAGACTCAGAGGGCTGGGAAGACTCCCAAGAGGGTTGAAGAGACTCAGAGGGTTGGGAAGATACGGGGAGCTGGGAATATTCAGAGAGTTGAGAACACTCAAGAAGGTTGATGAGATTGGAAGGGTTGGGAAGACTCAGGAAGATTGGAAATGCTACCAAGACCACTCCAAAGGAGTTCCCATAAACTCCAGGAGCCAAGGGATTTCAATGGGAATACGGGGATCATCAACTCCAAGGCTTACCACATCCAGAGCTCTCATCCGTCACCTTGGTGAGGACACGGCCCGTCTGGATATCTGAGAAAGCCCAGTACTGGGAGAGAGGAAGAGCATTGGACATGGAAGGGGTGGGAAGCAAAGGTGGGATCTGTGGGATGGGGAGGGATTCACCTGGTCATCCGAGGAGCTGAGCAGGTAATCACCCGTGGCGTGGAGGCTGAGCCCAGTCACGGAGCCCTCGTGGGCACGGACCACCTGGACACAGGAGGCGTTGGGAACGGACCAGATACGGATGGTGGCGTCGGGAGAAGCCGAAAACACCAACTCCTACGCAAGGACAACACCAGAAGGTTCACACAGGAAGAATTCGCCTCTCCAAGACCTCCCAGCAGGAGATTCCACCAGAGGAGGGTCCTGATATCCAGATTTGAGACATCCTGGAAATGAGGAAAGAGCCAGACGCACCTGGGATGGGTGGAAGACGACGCTGGTGACTTTCTTGGTGTGGCCCTTGAGTGTGGCCAAGATCTGCTCCGAGCTCTTGTCGAACACGATGACGTTTTTGTCGGCTCCACCTGGAAAGCCAAGCAGGAAGCGCTGGGATGGGAGTGTGAGGCCAACCAAATCCACCTGCCTTATGTCCCAAAAACACAGAGGAAGAGACCCACGCCCAGGTGGGAAATCCCCAGGAAAGCGCCCTTACCAGTAAGGATCTTGTTGGTGTCCGAAGGACACAGATCCAAGGCAAGAATTCCTGGGATGCTGGCACTGTGCAGCCCCTGTGTGAGGGAGGAGAAGCCCAAATTAATGCCACAAGCAGCGAAACACTCCCAAACGGAATCAAGAAGCAATTCCCAGCTGCACGTGGGAGTTTCCCAGTCCTTTCCCATCTTGGCACTCACCACGTGTGAGGCCACCTGCCGGTACTTGCTGAGCTCCTCCGGCTTCACCAGCTCCTCCGGGACTGTCTTGCCCCTCTGGAAAAAACAGGGACAAACGTCAGCCTTTGCTGGAGCATGGCATATCCTACCTCCCTCAAAATCCTTGGATAAGGCCACTCACCTTCTTACGCTCCGTGGTCAGCACCGTCGCCTTGTCTTGGAGCTGGAAAACAAGAGGAGGGTGAGCACAGACTGGGAATTCTGCGATGGGAAGATGTGGAGGGGAACACATGGAACACTGCCCTTACCTTCTGGATGATCTCTGGGGTCATTCCCGCCAGCTCTCCCAGATCCATGGCCTCGCCAGCGCCCTGTGTGGCACAGAGAGAAGGGACATGCAGAGAGGGAATTTGGGCGCAGTGAGTGGGAAAAGAGCTGGGAATGAGCGGGAAAAGGGCTGGGATGGGGAGCAGGGACTCACGGCCACGTTGGGCTGCGCTGACGGCACCGCCTGGGGCACGATGAGCCCGGCCTGAGGCTTCAGCGTGGCCAGAGCTGCAAAAACACAAGTTTAAAGGAAAACCGGGGTAAAGCACTTCTCAGAGCCCCTTCCCAGGAATATCACGTGTCTGTGTTACCTTCTCTGGCAGCGGTGACCTCCTTGGTGAGGCGGGCAATGACCCTGCAGGCGGCATCGTGCTGGTACAGGGCATGGGACAGCTCCTGGCGCGTGGTCTGCAGCTGCTGCCGCAGCGTGAAGCTGTGCAGCATCACGGCATCCTGCCGGGAAGCGCTGGAGTCAGCCGGGGAATGCTGGGAGCCCAGCCCCGGCAGTCCCCCCGGCACTCACCCACTCGTCCTGCAGGGCTTTCAGGATGGCCGGGATGCTGGTGGCCGAGGGGGGTTTGGGGCGGATCGGGTGGGCGACTGGAAGAGAGATGGACACGTTATCCCTGTCCTGGAGATCCCTATGGATCCCTGCATTCCCACGCCTTGCCTTTCCCATTTCACCATCCCCCCTCTAACCCCTCTCTCTCCCAGCCTCCACAGCCGAGTCCGGCGTCTCACCCCCAGCTCAGCAAACCCCATTCCCGCCCCCGGGAGAACCATGCCCGCTCCCGATCCCGGTACCTTTGATGTCGATGAGCTGCTCCTCGGACAGGGGCTGGTTGTTGACAGGATCGGTGCCGTTCTCCGCGATGTATTTCTCGATCAGCCGCCGCTCGTACACGTGGTTGGACACCGGCGACACACACGGGTGCTCCGGGACCTCGTTGGAAACTGCGGGGGAAAGGGAACGACAGGGTGGGACGGGAAGGGGGATTTGGGAACCCCCTACCCGGTGATCCCCCGGTGACCCCGGCTGTCCCCGCCCCGAAACCCGGGATCTCCCATTCGGTAACGCATCCCTCCCGCCGCAGCCGCTCTCTCTCCGCACTCACTGGAGCAGATGAGTGCCATGGCGGAGGCCGGGCGGTCGCGGCGCTCCGGTTACGGCCCCGCTGCCCTTCCGAGGCTGCTTCCGGTTCTCCTTTCCGGTCCGGAGACCCGGTTCCGGTTCCGGTTGGCGCGCGCGGCCCCCGCGCCGCTCCCGAGCGCTCACGCGGGCGCCGCCACCGCCGCCGCCGGAACCGGAAGCGCTCCCGGCATCCCTCGCGCTCCCCCCGCCGGCGGGAACGGCGCTTCCCGGCGTGCACCGCGCTCCGCCGCCCGCCTCCGGCTGTTGCCATGGCGCCTGCGTTCCCGGCATGCATCGCGGCGGTCCCGGGGACTACAGCTCCCGGCGTGCCCCGCGACGGAGCCGAGGGAAGCCTCGGTGAGGGGGGGTCGGGGGGGACCCCGGGGTGGGGGGTGGAATTCGGGGAAAATTGGGGGAAAATGGGGGAAAATCCGGGAAAAGTGGAAGGAAATGAGTGGGGGGAGCTCCAGGGGGGCATAGGCGGGGTGAGGGAGCCGCGGTGGGGGGTCCTTGGGAGATCCCGGGGGGACTGGGGGGATCCTGAGGGCGTGGGGGACAGTGGGAGGTGGGTACAGAGGGGCCTAGGGACATCCTGGGGAGATCAGAGGGATCCTGGAGACCGCAGAAATCTGGGTGGGGTGTGCAGAGAGGGCTTTGGGGATCCAGTGGGCACTGGGGAAATCCAGAGAAGACTCGGGAGATTTTGGGGATCGTGAAAGGTGGAGGGCCCTGGCGGGGGGTGGGCACAGGGGGATCAGGGGTTCCAGGGGAATGGAGGGAACTGGGTGGGGCAGAGCAAACTGGAATTGGGGAGATCCTGGGGGGATTTGAAAAGTGCGGGACGCGGGGGGTCTTGGGGGGGGCAGTGGTGACTGTGTCCTATCCCGGAGCACCCCGCTCCCTACTTTGGGAAGGGGTGCCCCCCCCTTCCCAGCCAGGCCCGGTGCCCTTGGCTGTGTCCCGCTGACTCTCGTCTGTCCCAAAAATAGCCGGGACACCCGGCCTGTGCTGAGGGGGAGTTTGGAACTGGGTTGTGGGGCCTCCACCCTCCTCTCCTGCTGGGAGGACCCCAAAACCAGCAAGGGGCCCCCAAAACCAGCAGGATTTTCTCCTCCCAGCACCCCCACCTCTCCCTTTCCCCACAGATCCCAGTTTCCAGGATGGGGAGTGCCGTGGGGCATTGGGCCCTGCTGGCCCTGCTGCTGTGGATCCCATTTTTCACGGGATCCGCAGGGGATGGAGCCAAGGATGGCCAGGAGGGATTCCAGGGACATGCCACCACCTCCGATGACATGCTGCTCCGTCTGGGAATATCCACTTGGGACACCCTGGAAAACTGGGTGGGACCCCAGCCCCTGCGGACGGTGGCGGAGGTGGGATCCTGATTCCCAAAGCGTCCCTAGAATTCCTCGTGCAGGGACATGGGGGTCTACGCCCTGTTTTCCCACTCCTTCATCCCCATCTTTCCCCGCAGAGCCTCTCCACCACCCTCTGGATTGTTTCCTCTGGGATCTCGGCAGCCTTGACCACACTCTGTGGTATCCTGGGGGATCTCCTGGCTGCTTTCAGCATCAATGGTGAGCGGATTCACCCTGTGGGATGGCTCTGGCCCCCGTTCCTGGTGCATCCCCCATTGCTGACTCCCAGATCCCATTCCCAGGCCACTGGCTGGTCCGAGCAGCAGCACTGGCTCCCAGAGAAGTCCAGCGGGTGCTTCTGTGGGCAGTGGCCGCCCTGGTGGGATCCTGGGTGCTATCCCGGCTTCAAAGGCTGCTGCTCCCGCTGCTCCGTGGGATGAAGCTTTTCTTTTTCCTTGGAGCCTTCCTGCATGTGGCTGCTTCCCAGGAGAGGCCCACAGTGCAGGCGGGAATGCTGCTGGGCCTGTGGGTGCTCTATAGCCTCGTGGGCAGCCTGATGCCATCCCCGGATTCCAGCAGCCGGCTGGATGCAGCTGTGCGGAGCCTGGAGTGGAAGGTGGAGGAGCTGCGGCGGCGCCAGAAGTTTGGGGGGCCCCGGAACCGGGAGGATTGAGCCCCACTAAAGCATCCCCAAAGCTTGGCTCTGTTATCCCAAGCATGTGTCCCCCTGCTCTGCTGAGCCCCCACGCCCCCTCCTCTGCTTCCTGGTTCTCCCAGGGGTCCTGGGAACCCCCATCCCTCTGGGAGCACCCCAAAATTGGGGGTTTGCCACACATGCCACAAGTGCCTTCACCCCAAAAGCCCCCACGAGCCCTGAATGTGGGAGAAGAGCTCCCATATTCCCTGCTTGCCAGGGATGTTGTCCAAGCCCAGCTGGCTTGGGGTGCAGAGGGAATCCCATTCCCCATCCTGAGGGGTCTGCTTATTTTGGGGTCCCTCAACTGTCAGGTTTTGGGTTTTAAGCTGCTTTTTAAACGGTTTTGATAACGTGGTTTGGAATAAAGACGGATTTATCCAGCCTGACCCTGTTGCTTTCCCATGGGAAGGGGGTCAGGCTCAGAACCGGCCCTCCCAGTGCATTTGGGGTTGGGAAGGGAGGAGGAGGAGATGGAGGGTGGTTTATCCATGCCAGCATCCCACTGCCCTCCAGCTGTTCCTGTTGTGCTTCCTGCTCACTCTGTGCCCCTGGACATGGATGTCCTTGTCCTTCCCATGTCCCCAGTATCCCTAGTGGAACAGGGAAAGATGGATGGCAGTTGGGAGAAGAATTCCCACTCTCCTGCCCTGCTCCGGGGGTCTCTGTGGGGCCTGGGGTTGGGATGGGAATGGGATGAGGAGTGGGGATTGGGATGGGGATGAGGAAGAGAATGATTGGAGCAGAAATGGGGATGGGTTGTGGGATGAGGATGAGAATGGGGAGCAGGATGGGGTGCAGGGCTGGGAATGGGGGGTGGGATGGGATGTGGCTCGTGCTGTGGAGCAGGAGCCGGAACACCGGGCACGGCCGGACTTTAGGACCCGGCGGGACGAGGCGGCGCCGGTGCCGGTCCCGCCCCGGCCCCATTGTCTGGGCGCGGGGGCGGGGGGACGGGAGGCACCGGCGGAGCGACGGGAGGCACCGGCGGCACCGGCACCGACGGCACCGGCGGACGGACCGAGCCCCTCGGCCATGGCCCCGGCGCCCCGGCTGGCGCTGCTGGCCGCCGCCCTGCTCTGCGCCCCGGGTAAGTGGGAACGGCACCGGGAATGGCATCAGAAACGGCAGCTGGCACCGGGAATGGCACCGGGCACCGGCATCGACCCCGCTCTGCCCCCTTCCCGCCTGCCTGCCGCGATCCGCTCCCGCAACCCGGGTCGATTCTCCCCTTTCCCCACATTCGGGGTCCCTCCGTTCCGCCGGGATCCCGGGAGCCGGGGCGACCTCACTCCCTCCTCCTCCTTCCCCGCGTTCCCCGGGATCCGCGTCCCCCATTCCGCGGGGATCCGTGCCCCCTCCACCGCCTGGGATCCCGAGGGGGTCACCCGGGGAACGTGGGATCCGCTGGGATATCGAGGGGGGAATCTCCTCCCAGTCCCCACGGGAAGCCCGAGGGACTCCCCTTCCCTCCGGATCCCGGGATCTGCCTCGCCTCTCTCCCCACACACCTGATCGCCCAGGTGGGATCAATTCCCGGCTGTAAGGAAGCCCTGCCGGGAATCCAGGTGGGATCTGCTTCCTGTGATGAGGGATCCCTTTGATCAGGACCCTGAGCCTTGATCCCCCCCGAAGGACACGGTTCCAACCCCCTCCCTGGCAGGGAACAGCTGGGACTGGGGGAACCGAGTGGCCCCCTCAGTCTTGATGCAGGGATGGGATAACCCTGGGATGGGGCAACCATGGCAGGGGTGACCTCAGAATGTGGTGGCCCAGGCAAGGGGTCACACTGCATGCTGCCACAAAGGTGGGCGCAAACTTGCCCCCACTTGCCACCCCTGTGTACCCCACTCCCACTGTGTCCCCGCGGGATGTGACACATCTTTGTCCTTGCAGTGAGGGGTGACGGGGAGCCCCCGGATCCCGTGTTCCTGCCAGTGGAGCTGGAGGTCCTTGGGGTGCCCGAGTTCTTCCGGCTGCAGAGGGTGGATCAAGACGTGGCCCCCAACTCTTCCCTGCACACCCGCTCTGAGACATTCCTGCTGCTTCGTGCTGGATCCCAGCCCCTGGTCCAGGCCACCTACCCCCCGTTCAGCATCCGCCAGGTAAGTGGGACTCCTCTGTCCCCTGGGCCACCCCAGGGTGTCCCAGCTCCCACCACCATCCTGGTGTCCTTACAGGAGGTGCCCCTGGAGAGCCCCTCCAGCTCAGCAGCTTGGGCCATCCGTGCCGTGTCCCTGGAGAGCTCTGTGTCCCCTGCTGAGCCCATGGCCCGTGTCCTCTTCCATCTGCATGGGCCCGACTGGATGCCTGGGAAGAAGGATCACGCCAGGACCCGGGATCACCCCAAGGACTGGGACCACCCTGGGGTCTGGGATCACCCTGAGGTCCAGGGCCACCCTGGGGGTCAGGGTCACCCCAGGGACTGGGATCATCCCAGGGAGCAGGACCACCTTCGGGACCAGGACCACCCTGGGGTCCAGCATCGCCCTAGGAACTGGGATCACCCTGGAGATCGTGACCACCCCAGGGATCAGGACCACCCTGAGCAGCGGGACCACCATGAAGTCTGGCATCACCCCAAGGACCAGGATCAGCTCAAAGACCAGCACCACCCTGGAATCCGGGACCACCCCAAGGACCAGGACCACCATCAGCAGCAGGACCACCATGGGAATTTGGATTCTTCAAGGGATTTGGATCACTCCAGAGCTCAGGATCTCCCCTGTGTCACCCTCCACGCTCACCACCGTGGGCGGGTGGCCCGGGGGACATGTCGCCTGCAGGTCAGTGCCATCCTAGGGACCCTGGGAACCCACAGCTCCTCTCCAGCCTAATCCCAGGCCCCCCTCTCCCCTCCAGGCCCCACTGGGCGTGTGCGTGGTGGAGCTGGAGATCCCTCCACGCTGGTTCTCCCTGGGATCCCTCCATTCCCACCGGAGCCGCCGGCGGGATTCTGACCCCTTGGAGCGTCCAGAGCACCCAGCACCAGCTGAGCTGCGCTATAGTGTGGGGGAGTGTGGAGGTCGGGAGCAGGAGGCTCCCAGATTCCTGGGAATGCTGGAGCTGCGGGCAGGAGAGCCGGAGCGGCGGCAGGAGGTGCGGCTGGACGAGAAGGTGCTGCTGCGTGTCCCCAATGTCCCCCTGCGGCCTGGGCAGCGCTTCACGGCCACCATCGCCCTGCGCCACAACTTCACCGCTGACAGCCTGACCCTGAGGTGAGAGCAGGGACAATGGGGACAGTGTGGGACCCTGCATGGCACTATGTGAAAGTGTGTGGCAGTGTATGACACACTGTGACAGTTAGTGGCACTGTGTGACAGTCTGTGACATTGTGTGGCATTTTGTGGCAGTATGTGATACTATGTGACAATGTTTGACACCACGTGCACTGAGTGACATTTTGTGACAGTGTGACTGTGACACTGTGTGACACCGTCTGATACCAGCTGACAGGATCTGAGAATGTGTGACTGTGTGACATTTAGTGGCAGTGAATGACACCATCTGATACCATTCTGACAGTGAGTGACACTGTGTGATTGTGAGTGACACTGTGGGACACAGTCTGACACCACCTGACATTGGGTGACATTGTGTGATTCTGTGGACACTGTGGGGCATTGTGTGACACTGCCTGACACCCTTTGTGTGACTGTGAATGACACTGTGTGACACCTTCTGACACCATCTGACACAGTGTGACACCATGTGTCCCTGCAGGATCAAGGCCAAGAAGGGCCTGCAGGTGGTCTCCGCCCGCCCCACAATTCCCAGCACCTGGAGCGTGCACCTGGAGCATTCCCGCGGTCCCAAGCACTCCACAGCCGTGGTGACGTGCCGGCGGCTCGGGGACATCCCTGTAATCCCTGACATCTCCAGGTAGGGAATATCCCAATACCCCCATCCTGGTGGGAATTTTGTGTTGTCCCACCCTGATCCTGGTGCGGTGCCGCAGGGTGTCCGAGCCGGCCGCGTTCCTGCACCTGGATGTGGCGGTGGAAAACGGGACGGGGGGGCTGGCGCCGGCGCGGCCCCTCACCTGGCAGGTGGAGTATCCTGGCCAGGATCCTGAGGCGCAGAAGGACAAACTGGTCTGGGAAATCCAGGTGTCGGAGCGGGATGTCCGTGCCCTCGTCCCGCTGGTGCAGGTGGGTGCCCCCCATCCCATTCCAGCCCTCCATCCCGTGGGAAGCACCCCCTCATCCCACTGCGCTTCCAGGAGCTGGAGATCCTGAACACAGCGCCGCTGACCGGAATCCCCCGCGTTATCCCGGTGAAACTGGTGACTGTGGAAGCAGGGGGTGGAGTGTCCGAGCTCACGGATCCTGTAGGATGTGAATCCGCTGACAAGCAGGTCCTGCAGGTGAGTCCTGCTATCCCCTTGTTATCCTGCCTCACCCTGGGAGATTCCCATGGAATTCCATGTGCCCTCGCAGGTGTCGGATTCCTGCGACCTGGTTTTTGTGGGGGGCAAGGAGAGCCGAGGGGCACGGGGGGCCCGTGTGGATTTCTGGGTGCGCCGGCTGCGGGCAGAGCTGAGCTTCTCTGTCTGGGCTCCGCTGCTCCCGCTCCGTGTCCAGCTGGGAGATCCCATCCTGGAGCAGCTCCGTGGCTGGAGACTTCCTGGGGGGCCTGACAGGTGAGACCTACAGAATGGGATGGTGGGAAAAGGGGGAGATGGGAATGGGGCCAAGACCTGACATGAGGGGATGCATCAGTGAGCCCCCAACACACTCCTGTGTCCCAGGATTCTCATCACCCTGCCATGGAATCCCTGTCACCCTGTCCTACAATCCCTGTTCCCCTGCGCCTGGTAACCCCATCCTGGGACTCTTGTCACCCTGTCCCCTGTCCCCAGTGCCGTGGTGGAGTCCGAGGACGCTGCAGAGGAGCCAGAGCGGCGGGCGCGGGGCTGCCGGCCACAGTTCCAGCGCACGGGGCTCCGTGTCCTGGCGCACTTTGTGGCCCACCCCCTGGATGGTGGCCGGCACCTGTCCTACCTGCCTGGCCCTGAGTGGCTCCTGGATGTCACCCACCTGGTGGCTGCCCGGACCCGTGTCCAGGACCCCCGCGTGGCATCACTGGAAGCAGGGGCCATGGTGGTGGGCCGGGAGCCTGGAGTCACCTCCGTGGAGGTAAACAGGGGTTGTCCGTGGGGAATTTGGGGGATCCTGGGGAGATTTGGGGGTGTGGGAAGCTTGCAGGGATGGAGCTTTGGGGCTGGAAATGACCCCAGTGGATGCTGTCCAGGATACAGGGTGGGAGGGAACTGAGGGGTTGGAGGGGGTGGTAGAGGATGGAAGAAGAAACAGAGGCTGTGAGGAATGTTGGGGGACTCACAAGCTGCTTCCAGGTGCGCTCCCCGCTCTCTGACTCCATCCTGGGAGAGCAGACGCTGGTGGTTTCTGAGGAGAAGGTGACGGTGACAGAGCTCCACACCCAGGTGGTGGCTGGGCTCTCCTTATCCCTGCGGACACAGCCGGATCATCCTGGTGTGGTCACGGCCACTGCCCAGGGGACACCCACACTACGGGCCCTCAAGCAGGTGAGATGGGTGGGAGGGGCACCCCTGTCTCCCCAGTGTCCCCCAAACCTCTGCCATCCCTCTTGTCATCCCACCAGGAAGCGACACTGTCCATCTGGTTGTCCTTCTCCGACCGCACGCTGGCCCCGCTGGAGCTCTACGGGTGGCACGACGTGGCCTTGACCGTGACGTCCCTCGACCGCTCTGTTGCCACCATCACGGGGTCCCCTGGGGTCCCCACTGCCCACCCATGGGTGGTGGCCGAGGGACCAGGCCGAGGGGACCTGCTCCAGCTCAGTCTGCACCCCCCGGATCCATGCCGGCGTGGCCGGCACCGCGCGGCCGCCCTGGCCACCGGCACAGCCTGGCTCGAGGTGGGGATCCCCTCTCCCGGGACCCCCCGGCCCTTCCCGCGGGCTGAGGGCGCCATGTCCGGGGAAGCGGTGACCGTGGGACGGAGGGACCCCGCGGGCGTGGGGCCGGCAGCCACCAAGCTCCAGGGGTCTTCTTCGGAGGAGGATGAGGAGGAAGGCTACGGCCACAACCGTGCCGGCATGGAAGAGGAGGAGGAAGAGGAGGAGGAGATGGTGAAGGCTCCAGAGCGGGTGACTGACCTGGAAATTGGGATGTACGTGCTCCTGGGAGTCTTCTGCCTCGCCATCTTCATCTTCCTCGTCAACTGCATCTTCTTCGTGCTCCGGTACCAGCAGAAGGAGCTGCCCGAGCCAGGCGGGGCCCCCTCAGCGCCACAACCCCACAACTGGGTCTGGCTGGGCACCGACCAGGAAGAGCTGAGCCGGCAGCTGGACCGGCAGCAGCTGGATCGGCCACAGCTGGATCGCCGGCAGCCGGATCCCCCAGCATCCCCGGGCCCCGCCTGTGGCTGCGGGGGCCCCCCGGGCTCCGGTGAGGGCGGGGCTGCCCCCGGCTCCCCGGGCCCGGGAACGCCGCAGCCCCGCAAGGAGGGATCGGCTCCAGGGGGCGGCCGCAGGAAGCGGGTGGAGTTTGTCACCTTCGCCCCCCCGCGCGTCCCCGAGGAGCCCCCCCCGGCCGCCCCCCACGTCCAGTCCATCCTGGTGGCCAGCGAGGACGACATCCGCTGGGTGTGCGAGGACATGGGGCTGCGGGATCCCGAGGAGCTCCGGAGCTACATGGAGAGGATCCGCGGCAGCTCCTGACACCGAGGGGGCGACTCCCGGACCCCTCAATTCCCGGGCAAGCCAGTAAGGGCCCGACCTCCTCCCCATGCCGTGCTGGGGGGACACCGACCCCCCCCTTCCAGCGGGATGTGCCGGGGACCACTGGTGGCCTCCTGGGACCACCCCGAGGTGCCCACAAAGGGTGAGGGGGGAGTCTCCCAGCCCTGTCCTTGTGAGGGCTGGATCCCGGCGCCACCGGGGAGGAATTTGGGATGCTCTTACTGCTTTGGGTCTCATTGCGACATGGTGTTCATAGTGGTGATGATGGTGGTGATGATTCCTGTGGTCTGATCCCGGGGAGGATCCTGTATCCCCCCCACCTTCACCCCGGCCACGCATCCGTTTTGTACACATTTTCTATCGGGAATGCCCGGGAAGGGGCTGCCAGGGGCTGGTATTTATGGAAAATTTTTAATTCTGACGTTGTTACAAAAATAAAGTATTTAAAAAAAAAAAAAATTGGGATTCACCTCTGTGCTATCTCCTCTGATCCTAACACCGGGTCTCACCCTGCCCCCATGGCAGTGCCAGGCTCCTGGGAATGCGCACATGTCCTTGACCTTGGCTCCACGTGGGAGCTGGTCACGGGATTGGATCCAGGGCTGGGCCTGGCCGTGGCCCAGCTGGGGTCACCTTGGGATAAGGGATCTCCTTCCTCCCTCTTCTGCCATCCTCCTCCTCCACCTTTCCAATCCAAACACCAGCCCGGTACTGCGTGTCCTCCCCATGGTCGATCCCCAACATTCCCAAATGTCCCCTCAGCACCTCCCGTTATTTAGGAGTGGCATGGGCATTCCTACCCTTCCAGCTTCCCCGTAAGTCCCAGCAATCCCAAGACACCCTGGGTAACAGCAGGAGATCCCCCACCCCATCACCCTGCTCCCAGCTTCCCCAGACTTCCCAAAACCCTGCTGAGATGGGGTGACTGGAGTCCTGGCCCCGCATCCCAGTGCCCTGGGTCCCCAGGTGTTCAGCTGGATCCCAGCCCTCACCCATGCTAGGGATCAACATCTCCTGCGATGCCCCACCTCCTACCCATGGAAATTCCAGCCTTACCCCTCACCAAATATTCCTGGAGGGTGCTGGGGTGATCCTGCATGTACTAGAAGATGCTCGGGATGTGGAGCTACAGGTAACATTGACTCCAAAATCCAGGGTGAAGAGGGGAACTCCTGGGTCTTCATCACCCCACAGATGTCCCACAGCTCAGGATACCCCGAGTCCCCCGCGTGCCACCACCCCAAATCCACGACCTGGAGGACAAACGAGCTGCAGTTCATGATGGCTTCACCACATCTCTGTCCCCTGGGCTGGAAGCACCAGGTCCACCAGGCTCCCTTGCCCTGGAGGGTCTCTGGGGTCCCCAAAACCCCATTTCCTCCCTGCCGGGGCAGGATGGAGCCACCCCATCACCCTCCTCCACCCTGCAGCACCGAGTCGGCTTCCTGCCCTCCGCCACACTCCCGGAGCTGCCAGAGCACGGGGACACGGCCAAGCCATGTCCCCAGGCTGCTGAGAGAGGGACCCCTCGAATCCCAGATCCCTGAATTCCATGGGCCTGCCCCCCTGATGGGATGGGGGGGCTCTGCCTGCTCTTGGTGGCTCTTTCTGCCGTGGCATCTGCACAAGGTACGTCACTGTTCCCATCCTGGCCCTTGCTGTCCCTCTCTTGGGATCTTGGGGTGGTGGAGCCACAGATTTGGGGGTTGGGGACCTGCCACCTCCCTGGGATGGGGAGCACTGGGGGTCCTGGGGGTCCCAAACAGGGGTGTCAGTGGTGGAGGATGCTGCCCCTCAACCCACCCAGATGGAGGGAAAGGGATCCCCTAAAAGGCAATCCTAAGGCTTGCAGATTCTCCTGTGGGTTAAGGCCCCCTTGGATCTCCCCGAAAGCAACCTGGCAACCCCTGAAAGAGGGTCCTAAGCCCCTAAAGGTGCTCTCAGAGCCATCCCACCTACAATCCCTTTGGGAATGGGGCTACACTCAGGGCCTGAAGCCAGTCCTGTCTCTTACGTACTCTGGGATGGTGTTGGGATGTGATGCCACCTGCCCTCCCCACCTTGTCAGCATTTGGGATGGTTTGGCTGCCAAAATGTCTGCCAGGAGCTGCTTGGAGGCCTCCAATCGATCAGGAAACGGCCCCATCACCCCATTTCCGCCCTTCTCACACCTCCGTCCCCACCTGGAGCAGCTCATTCCCATATTCTCCCCTCATCCGTGGCCTTTTCCTTGAACATTTGAACTCCAATCCACACCCCACCAGCTCTGCTGTCTCTTCTCAGGAATCCCACCCTGGATGCCTCACTTCTGGGGCTTAATCCTTCCCCCTGGAGGAGCCAAATGGGGCATTTTTAGGGATAACAGGATCATCTACTCACCTCTGGCTCTGGAATGGGTCAGGGGGGCACAGGCAGGTCAAGGCCCTTTATGTCCACAGGGGCGAACCAAAAGGCAGGAACAACACGGATGCAGGAAGGCATCCCAAATTTCAGCTCTTCCATCACTGAGTTGTGTCCCAGTATTCCCAGATTTAATGCCAAATTCTCCCAGCAGATCCCACACCAGGACTGAGCCCTGAGAAACATCCTGGGGCACACAGGGATTGATTTTTGGGATGCAACAGCTCCATGACCACTTTGCCAGAGCCCCACTTTGCCAGAATTCCCACTGTGCCACTCACAGCTGGGAGAATCCTCTTGACCACCTTTTGGCAGGTTTGGGATGCACCCCTCCAAATCCTGGGGGGCTCAGCCCCTCATCTCTCTGCCCTTTCTCCCCACAGAAACAACAGGACCTCCCAATACTCCGACTGGGAACACCTCAGTGACACCGGGTGAGTGGTGGGGGGAGGGTGAGGGACATCCTTACATCCACTTTTTGGGATTCTGGGACAAAGCCAGGTCACCCTTCCCGGTGCATCTCCCAGGTCCCAGAGCTCTCCGGCTGGCGGGCGGCCGGAGCCGCTGCGAGGGCCGTGTGGAGCTGGAGCAGGAGGGGACATGGGGGACAGTGTGTGACGATGGCTGGGACATTCTCGACGCCGACGTCGTGTGCCGCCAACTCCGATGTGGCCACGCCGTGAGAGCCCCCGGCAACGCCTCCTTCGGCCGTGGACACGGCCCCATCCTCCGGGATGAGGTGGGATGCAAGGGACACGAGCAGGACCTCTGGGAATGTCCGGCCGCTCTGGAGCACGACTGCAGCCACAAGGAGGATGCCGGCGTGGTTTGCTCAGGTGGGTTTGGAATATTCTGGAGCCGGGGATGTTGATGGCGCATCCTCATCTCCGCGCTCTTCCTGCAGAACACCAGGAGTGGCGGCTCTCCGGAGGCCGGGATGGATGTGCCGGCAGGGTGGAGGTGTTTTTCCGTGGCACTTGGAGCACAGTGTGTAACAGCACGTGGTACAAGACAGAGGCCACGGTGCTGTGCCGGACGCTGGGATGTGGGGATGTGCTCCAGCGGCCCTCCTTTGGACACACGCTTCCCGGGAAGATGGTGTACTTGTGTGGGAGCCTGCAGCCCTCGCTGGCACAGTGCCGCTGGACCTTCAATAAATCCGCTCCGTGTTACCAATCCTGGGCCGCCGGGGTCATCTGCAACGGTACCGGCTCCTTCCCGACGGGATCTGAGGCACGGTCCTGCCCTCTCCTAAGATTCCGATTTCTGTTCCCACCCTTTTCAGGCTCCCAGGGTTTGGAGACGTCAACGCCCATGGCTGAGGTGACGCCCAGGAATGTCACTGTCCTGCACGGTGAGTGTCCGAGCCCTCGGCCATTCCGGATCAGGGTAAAATTCCCAGGGGGGAAGATTTACGTGGGATGAGCTGTGTCTGTTCTCTGTCCCAGCCGAGGAGGGGACCCCGACCTTGGGGACACCACCACCGGACAGTCCCCTTTTTGTCCTGTGCCTGGTGCTGGCAGCACTGCTCCTGCTCTCCGTGCTGGCCTTTCCCGCCACCCTGCTGAGCCTGAGGAAGAAGAGCGGTAAGGAATTCTGGATCCGGACACAGAACTGGGACACGATCCCCACTTTTTCAGCTCAGCTCAGCCATGGAGTGAGTGCATCCCCTTGTGTCCACAGCCACATCCTCCTTGGGAATACCCACACCGGTCCTGGTGACCCACAGCTACCAGAACCCCAGTGTACCCTCTGGAATCCCCAACGACTACAGGAAAACCCCCACCAACATTCCCAAAGGATCAGGTGGGTCTGGCAGGTCCCCCCAGGGGCTGTGGGGCCAGAGGTGCCAGCTGGTGACAGATGCCACATCCCCTTGTCATCCCCCAGACCATCTGGTCACAGCCATTTCCAAGGATTCTGATTCTGACTCGGAATATTATGAGTTCAGCAGCAAGCCTCCTGTCGCCCTGTCCACCTTCTACAGTGAGCATCCCACTTCCTCTGGGATCCCTGACACCCTGTCCCGGGATCCTTGTCACCCAGGATGCTCCCACCCCTCTCCGCTTCCCACAGACTCCCTGCGCCAGCATCCCAGGGAGGATCTTCTCCCTCTGAGACCCAGCCAGGACAAGGTGGAGCCATTCCCTGGAGATGGTATGACACAAGGTGGGTCTATCCCATGGACGGAAGGGTGGCCACCCCCTCTCCCAATATCCTTGTTCCTACATTTGATGTCCTTTTCCCACAGAGCTGGCCAGGCCAGGGTCCCCATGCCACAGTTCCTCCAGCTCATCCTCATCCACAGGGCCCAGTTGGAACGGCAGCATTCCCACCCCTGCCCGTGGCCCCCAGTGGCACCAGGCAGCCACTGGCCATGGCTACAGCACAGGTGGGAAGCGTGGGAGCAGGGATGGGGAGACCCCAAGGATGGGAGAAAGGGATGCAGGGAGCAGGGATGGGGAGGGAATGAGGGCTCAGGGACCCCAAGGAGAGGAGCAGGGACAGAGCGATGCCAAGGATGGGAACAGGTTCAACCTCAACAAGGAGATGGGAGCTCGTGGAGTGGGAGCAGGGATGGAAAGTGCCAGTCAGTGACCCTGTTCCTCCCAGCTCCCCCGGCAGCAGCCGCCCCAGTGCCCTCCCAGCCCTGGGTACCTGCAGCTCCGGCAGATCCCGACGGCAGCTCCAGCACCTCCTCGGGGGAGTGGTACGAGAACATGCAGGAGACAGAGCCCCCTGGAGACCCCTCCTCACATCCTGGTGAGGATTCTGTGCTGGAGGTGGGGGACACAGGGAGTTCTGGGAATTTCCAAATCCTCCTGGCGGGCTCTGTTATTGCAGGCTGGTCAGATCCATCCTATCCCTCAGGGGAACACGTGGAGGATCCCGACTTTTCCGAAGGCAGCGACTACGATGACATCCACAGCTCTGCCTACTGAGCCTGTCCCACTGCTCCAGAGCCCAAATCTCCTGGAATTCTCTGGCTACCTCCTCCAGAATTCTCCAGCCACCTCCTCTGTGCTGCCAATAAAAGCTTTTCCTACCGTATCCTTGGTCCATAGGGGTGTCACCAGCCCTGCAGTGAGGCTGGGTCACTGAGTGCTCCCACTTGTCCACTAAGTGACACAAAGATGGCCAAAATCCCACTCCCAGCCCACAGGAGAAGGGAAGGGGGCAGCAGAGCCCTGATCAGCTCCATAGAACCAGGGGTGGAAATTAAACTGCAGGAAAGGAGAACATGGAAAACCCATGTGTCCCCCCAGAGCTTCCCTACACCCTTCTGGGACAGTCCCCATACCAGGAATGTGCTGTCCATAAATCCTGTCCAGGAAGGCTCCAGGAATGCTGGAAGAGAAGCCACTGAGATGCCACCCCAAACCCACTGGATGGTGCCCTATGGGGGTGGGATACAGTCCCCAAACCCTTCAGCATCTCCCAATCCATCCATATCCTAGCAGAAAGCTGGAGCCAAGCAGCTTGCTGGAGCCAAGCACCGTCCCAGCTTTGGGATGTGGAGGTGTTCCCAGCTGGGAGAGGGCACAGCACCCACCCATCATTCCGGGATTGGGACCCCTCTGCCCCTCCCTCACCCCACTTCCCGCCACCCATCCCAAGCCAGCTGCTCCCGCCCTGACCCCACCGTCTGATTTCTGTCTCCCCGGGGAGGAGGTCGGGGTTCAGCCGCACCCCAAGTGGAAAATGTGGCCTCCACATCCTCCAGCTGTTTGCTGAACGAGAGGCCCCGCACAAAGGAGCCGCAACAACGGAGGAAATCCCAAAATAGCAGCAAAACCCCGACAAAGGGCACGGGGCGAGGCAGGGGCTGAGAACGGAGCTGGCACCGGGGGTGCCCCAGCCCCGCTCCTGCCTCTGGGTGCCAGGGGGGGTTGGGAGGGAGGTGATGATGTTTGGATCACTGGGATCACGGCATGGACAGGCCAGGAGGATCGATGAATTGGGGGGGGTCCTGATGCCCTGGGGAGTCCCAAAATCTAAGGGGTCAATGTCCTGGGTGGGATCCCCATGTGCAGAGGGGTAGCAGTGTCCTGAGGGTGCTGATTCCTGGGAGGGCACCAGTTCCCTAGGGATAACAAAGCCCTGGAAGGTACCAAAGCCCTGGAGGGGGGGCACCAATTCCCTGGGGATACCAAAGCCCTGGGGGGGGGCACCAGTTCCCTGGAGATATCAATAGCCTGGGGGCCCCAGCTCCTTGGGGATAGCAGTGCCCTTGGAGCGTGACAATCCAGCCTATGGCCACCTAGGCAAGGTGTCACCTCCATCCCCACACAGCCACATCAGTGCCAACCCTTCCTCCAAGCTGCCCCCGCCCAGAAAATCCCCCTTTTCCTCATCATTATGATCCCAGCAGCGTGCAGACAGCCGACAAGCCCCTTCCCGCTTGCTCCAAAGGCAGCTCCTGCTTTTTAAAAGGCTCCTCACGGCAGGCAGCGTTGTCAGCACTTCCCAGCGCCCCCCAAACTCCCCCCGGGAAGGGATTCCAATCATCCTGAGCTGCCGTGGCACGCTCAGGATGCTGAGCTGACTCGCAGCGCCCGAGGCAAGGCGGATGCTCAATCCAAACCCAAATCCTATCCCTGGGATCTCATGGCCTGCAGAGCCAGTGACGGCTCTGAGGGAAGGGCTGAACCCCAGGCACCCCATTTCCATGGGGGTCACACACGCCTGGATGACAGGATCTCTCCTAGAGGCACGGTGTCCTGGAATGTTTGAGGTGAATCCTGAATTTCAGGTTGATTTTGGGGGATTGTGGCTTGTAGACGCTCCACTGAGTCCTATGGGAGCAGGCCTGGGAATTGCACCCCTTTTCCAGGGAATTTTCAAAGCCGAAGTGGGTGGGGGGCAGCTCCAGGACCCTCTGTGGGGTATTCCAACAGGGTCTGCTCCCATCAGGAGCAGCAGAATCCCTGGGATAGCTGGGATGGGAACAAGTGATGGGAGCACCCAGATGCTGAGATCCTACTCCAGGGATGGGGACTGCAGCATCCTCGGATGGTGGAGCAGGATGGGATGGGAAGCTCTATCCATCTCTCCTTCCAGCAGGAATACCATGGAGTCAATGGAAAACAACTGCGTCATTAGCATGCCTGACCTGGATTCAGAGCAATTAATTAGGGCACAATCAATTAACGCCCCTGCCCTGCCTGGGTCCAGCACCGCTGGTGCCCCATGTGCCCTTGCAGGGGTGTAGGGTGTCCCTGGAATGCTAGAACCTGGGATGTGCCTCGATAAAATCTTCCCCCATCCTGTTCCTGGGGGTAATCACAGGGTTTTAGGAGATGCCATCAACTCCTCTGCAACCCTGGGGGGCTCAGGAACCCCCAAATCTCCCTCGGCACTGGATATGTTCACTACCTCCCTTTCCCAGAGCTGTGGATATCCTGGGATTTGGTGGGGGATGAACCCCACAAGTTTCTCACCCCTTTCCTCTCATGCTCTGCGAGACCTGGGGAGGCAGCGGAGTCTTCAAACAGGCCCAAAGGTGACGTCAAAAAACCACAGAGGGAGGAAAAACAGCCGGTTCCTGTCCGGGCCCCCTCCCTCGCCTGCTCTGGGCTGGGCAGCGGAGGCGGCGGAGCCTCCAGAGCCTCCCGTGCCCCCATCCCACCAACGGAGCCCATGGCAACCCGGCTGCCCATCCTGTGCCTCCTGCTGGGAATGTGGGGTGAGTACCAGACACTCTGACCTCGGTGCACTGCTTAAATCTCATGGCAGAATTCCACCCTGGTTTTCCCGCTCCAGGCGGGATCGGCACCTTGAGTGAGCCACAATTTGTGGTTTGGGGTGGGAAGCACCCTGGTGACCCCCCAAATGCCCATCCACCTCCCCCTGGGGGTCCCCAGAGTCCCAAGGTTGAGCCAGTGGTGCTGAGGGCAGCCAGGTGTTCCCCATCCTCATTCCCTGCCAGCTCCCGCCCTTGCCTCCGTCCACATGGCTCCATTCCCGAACCTTCCACCCAGGAGCAGGGCTAATTAGAGGTAATTTGCAGGGCCCTCATCTTTTCTCAGCCGTAAAGATCCCCCCAGCAGATGGATGGGGAGGCAGCAAATGGCCTTTCTCCCCCCAAAATCCCAGTTTTCCCACAAAATCCATCTTTTCCCCAAAATAACCATCAATGGGCCGAGCAGCGGAGACGCTGTCCCAAACTCGGGGTCCCCAGGGTGGGATGTGGTGTTGACGCCCCACTTCTGCTGTTTTTCACAGCCATCCCCGACCATGGAGGAGCCACCTGGATCCCTGGAGGTGAGAATTTGGGGAGCAGCCCTCTGGGAATGCCGCCACAGCTCCATGAGCATGGTGGGTGCTGGAGTTGCATCATCCGGAAGGGGCATCGGGGGGTCCCAGCTCAGGCCCCCACATTCCTCTTGCTGCTTCCCAAGACCCCACCAAGGGCTTTTCCGTTGTTCCCATGGTGAAAACCCATGGGAAGGAAAGGAAAGCCCCTAATGATTGTGTTTTTCCACAGAATCCATCCTGAGACTCACCAGAGGCGGCTGCCGCTGCACTGGGATACTGGAGGTGAACTGGGAAAACCAATGGAGACAAATTTGCTGGGAGAGTGTGAGCGTGGATGACCTGGATTGGATCTGCCAGCGGCTAAAGTGTGGCCCCCTGACCTCTGAGCCCTTGGAGCTCAACATTCCTGGTGGGAAAGGGCCACACAGTCAGGCCACGAGGTGCAGGGGGCCACCGAACCCACCGGGATGCAACTGGGAGCTGGAAAACTGTACGGAACACGTCATTGTCGCCTGCAGAGGTGAGCCTGGACCTCCAGCCGGGACACCTCAATCCCTAGGGATCATCCATGCCCACGTGGCCCCTCTCTTCTCATTCCAGAGCCAGTGAAAACCACTCCAAAGCCCCCACTGGCACCCCCCGCCACCACCCCAGAGCCCGTGGGTAAGCACCTCCTCCCAAGGAACTCGTAGTCCCAAATTTGGGAACTTCCTGCTAAATAATGGGGAAAAGTGCCATCCCAATAGATAACACTTCCTCTTCCATCACCAATCCCTCTCCAGGACCCCCCAGGCTGCGGCTGGTGGACGGGAATTTCAGCTGTTCCGGCTTCCTGGAGCTGCACAAGCAGGGGCTGTGGGGGGCTGTAGCGAGCATCCCGCACAACCGGTCACATCTGGTCACCCTCATCTGCCGGGAATTGCGCTGTGGCGCTGCTGGGAACAGCCACGGCGAGCCGGATCCAGGGATCCACCTGCCGGTGCGGTGGGAGGCGGTGGATTCCTGTGGGAGCCGTTCCCTGCTGGACTGCTTCAACAGGACCAGCTCCCGGGGGAAAACACCCGCCTTCATCACCTGCACAGGTGAGATTGGTCCTGGAGCATCCATGATTTAGTGGGATACCCTGGGGGGATTTTGGAGCCAGAGCAGGGGACCAGCCCCATCCCCACGGGCCCCATCCACCCACTCCTGCTCTTCCTCTCTGGGGTGCGAAGGCAAAACAGGAAATCTCAGTTCCCGGCAGTGCCGAGTGTGGCACTTGCAAGAAGGATGAGCCGGGGAGGGAGAGCAGCCATGGCAGCATCCCAAATTCCAACTGGGAGTGGGGAACACTGGCAAGGGCCAGGCTGTGGGCATCCTTCCTGCTGTGGGAAGCTCCCTGAGCAACTTCCATGCCTCAGGCATTTCCCTGAGCATCTTCCATGCCTTGGGCATCTCCCTGATCCACTCATCTCTCTGCATCGGGTATGTCCCTGGATACCCTCCCTGCCAGAGGCATATCCCTGCTTTTCCATGACCCTCTTCCCTGCTACAGGCATCTTTCCCTTGCCATGAGCATCTCCCAAGCACAGGCATCTCCCTGTCCTTTTCCATGAGTGTTTCCCTGGAAATTAGCTCGGTGCCAGCTCCGTGGCGCAGAGAGCCAAACCATGAAGCTCAGAGCAGGCTCCACGTGGGTCCTGCCATCTGCCCAGCTTGGAATCCCACGGGATTTGGGGGTTTAATGGGCTGTGGCAGCTGGCAGAGCCGGCTTCCATGCT